CGCGCATGCGCACCTCAGTAAGCAGAAGCCCAGGGCGAAAAGGATCGACCACGCGACGACGGACTCGCGGGCGCTTCAGATCACCCGCCCCCGCGTCGACGCGAACAGCGAAATGCGCGGCCCGCGCCGCAGGCCCAAGGCCGCGCAGCGGGGCCACTTCTACTTCGCCCATAGAGAGGGCACCGCGCGCACGAACACGAGTACCCCTCGGGGCAGGGGCCGCGGGCCACAGATCCAGGGCGGGCGCCCCGCGGGCGGCTGGGGCGGCTGAAGACAGGCGAGGTAATTACAGGGCCTCCTAGCCACTTTATTTCAGCACCCCTGGTTCTCTTGGTCGGCTCTGCACCGAACCTCTACAAGCAGCGCAAGCTCGGCCACGACGCGCGCCTGCGGCTGTCGGCGAAACGAATGAGCGGGCACGGCCGCAGGAAGGCCTCGGTGGAAGTGGCAAACGAATCCGAAGCCGCTTCTGCCCTCGAGGCGGAGCGCGCGCGGGCCAGGAAGCAGATGCCCTCGAAGGAATTCCCAGTCACGCTACCGATGCCAGAGGTTGCGCAGTGGAAGATGGGCCGCGAGGATGTGGAGAAGCGACGCAAAATGCACACGCTCCATGGCCCATCTCGAACAGGGAAGTCCCGCCATACCCACGCCCTCTCCAAGGCAGATCCCATCAAGGTCGTGGACGTCCAACGCGCGGATAACCCGGACGTGCAAGGCTACGAGCGACGCCGCCACTTGGCCGCCCTCATGGATGAAGCGCTAAAACCGCCCTTCATTGCGAACAGCAAGTAGCTCCTCGAGGCGCACGTGGGCGGCGCTATACTAGAACAACCGGCTTCGTAACACGCACGAGGTCTTCCTGTGGCGTGAGCCGATCGTGCTCACCACGAACACGTGGGATCGCGAGCAATGGCGCGGCTGCGCACATGGGCGGGCCCGCGCGCGCAGCAACCAAGCCGAACCAATCTGGCCGCGCACCCAGCCGGGCGCGGCCCATCGGCGCGCGCGCGCCGCCGGCGTCTTCAGGACAGAAGCGGCGCGCAGGGCGGCGCCCGGCGCGCAAGGCCCAGGCTTGCGTCGCTGCGTCGCAGGGCGCAACCCCCCTCCCAATTCATCTCAACACGTCCGTAATCATTGACAGGTTCGTCCGAAGCTCAGGCATTGCGTCTTCCGCACTGCAGGCGTTGACCACCCAAGGCGTCTGCCATTCGTGCGCTTCCAAAGCCCCATTGCTCGGGCGCGTGCTAGCCGCGCCACTTCAATTGCGAACGCCGTGGTCGGACATCGGTCTGGGCCTCGCCCATGGGCGGTGCTTCGCCGCATCCCTTGCAGCGTCGCTTCCTGGCAACGCCCAAGATTGAGCCCCATGGCCTCGGCTTCTACCCACCCGGCCCCGCGACGCCTCAACCGCCCGCTCTCGGCGCAGCCATTTCGGCCCGATGGCGGGCCCGGACGACGCGGGCGCACTCCGCCACGTCTGGCCGACTGCCCCCGCGGGGCGCCCCCCCCGCGGGAGGCCGCCAAGCCGCTCGGCCTTCGCGAAGAAGCGAATCGGGAGTTGCACGGGAGCCAACCTTACTTGGAGCGGATCGCCTCGCGGCAGACGAGGCCAGGCAGGGGGCGCCCGCGGGGGCTGCGGCGCGCGAGCAGTTAACCCAGGTCGACGGCGACTCAGAGCGGCCCCCTGGGAAGCACTCGGGCGCGAAGCGGGGCCCAGAGCCGCCGCCTGCGGCAGTCTAGCGCCGCTGAGCTGCCGCCTCGGCGACGACGGCCAAGAGGCCAAGAGGAAGCGCGACCAAAAGCCCCGGTCTGCAGCGGCGGCCAGCGCCTGCTTCGCCGCGACGCCGAACTTGGAGACGGCCAGCCTTTCCGCAATAAGGCGTCACGGGAAGCGACCACGACCGAAGGCCGCGACTCCGACCCAGCCTCCCCATGGAAGTTCCAGCGCGCGGCGCAGAAAGTCCCCTCGCCGAACGCAATGAAAGACCAGCGTCTCGCCGCGGCCCGCGAACTGCCCCGGCACGGGAAGTCGCCAGCATTGCGGGCGCAGCACGTAGCGCGGTTCGACCCACGCGCGCCAATCACCCCTGGGCCCCCCAAAATAAATGACCTGACGAAGCAGGCGTTCAAGGGCGGCAGGACGTGCATCTCGGACGACGCGAAGACGCACTCCCCTCCCCGAACCTCCTCGGCCCATCGACGGCGCCGAAGCAGCGGCAGCGGGAAGGCGCCAAAATGAATCGGTTCGTCGCGGTCGCGCACGGCGCGGCGCACGTGGAGGTCATGCCCTCGGACCGGGAGCCCAACGGGACAGGCCGGGGCCCCTTCCTGTCGAAAAAACCGAAGGGATCTCCCTCAAGCTCGGCGGCGGCGCGCGGCCGCCGCGCAATGCCTCCGCGGGCCGCGGCACGGGCACGCACAACCCAAATGGAAAGGTCGTCAACGAGCACGCGGCGGCTATGGCCGCCGCTGGAACGCACTTGCACTAGGGCAGGGGCGCGACCAGACAGTCCTCCGACATGGGCGACACGCTCCTGAAGGAGACCGCGCTGGCATGCTTCCGCACGCGAATGGCGAAGGAGCGCCCGGATGGGTTGCCGCACCGCGAGAGCGCGGAGCAGCGGGCGCGATGCGCCCGCCGCGTCGTCGCAGCAGTGAATCAGGAGCACGACGCTTCTAGCCGCTGCGGCGAAAATCGCGAGCGCCTCGAAGACGTCACGACGCGGGAGGGCGATCGCCCCCCGAAAGAATACGCCGCGCGGGATAATGAACGAATTAATACGCAAACCTGCCCAAAGCGCCAGCGGTAAAAAAGCGCGGGGCCAGCGGGGCGCGGCAAGTGCCATCGCCAGGTTGGGCCTGGGGCGGGCGGGCCCACGCAGCCAGACGCCCCTGAACACAAATGGCAATCCTGCCCCGCCGCTGGTCGAATCGTTCCCGGGCGGGCGGGGGCGGGGATGGGGGCCCGCCGACTCGCTCCGGCCGTCGCGTTTGAAGGTTGGCGGGGGGAGAAGGAGCCGCTGATTCCCACGACACATCACCTTTCTGCGTGGACGGCCAGTACGCCTCGAGCCCTCCACCAGAATCGCGCATTTGCAGAGTGCCGACGTCGCCTTGCCCCACCACCAGCGCGATGAAAAATGTCGGCGAGAGCGCGCTGGAGATGTTGACGACAGCGTTATGCACGAGAACCGCAAAGCCACTCTGTCGCCTGCCCCCGCAGGCCTATTACGGCGTATTCCCGAGCGCCGGCAAAGCCGTCAGTCGAGTCGCACCATAGCACGGCATTGCACAGCGCGACCACAAACTTGCATAACAGACCACTGTGCACGACATTGAACAGCAACGCACGGCATCACACAGCGTTGCTTAAAACAACTGATGCGGTGGAAGCGTGGAAGCTGGCACTGGGGGCGCGAGAAGCTGGCACGGCAGGGCAAAATCTTCCAGACCGCGCTTTCACTCAGCGAACACGGCAAAACCCTTTCGGCAAGCCTGTTTGAATATCTCGACACTGGAAGGGGTACTATCATCACGGCACGACAAGAAACGCTTAGCGAGGAACGAACTGGCATTTCTGGCTACGGCCAGCCCAGGTCACGAAAATGTTCCCCGACCTAGACTTCAGGAACGACCGCGACCCAGGGCTACTCTTGAACCCAAGGCGGCCCCTACTCCAACCCCCTGACTCCGCCCCATTTCCCACGCCATGTCTTCAGGCGCCAAGCATCGGTCGTTCACAGGCGACCGGCGCACAGCACGTGATGATTGCACCAGCTCCCGCGCGAACTGCACCCGCTGGCCAAACCTCGCGGCGCGACGGGGGTGGGGGAGATGCGGGGATGTAAAGAACAGGGAAAGAAGAAGCGCACACGGCCAGGGGAGAGGGTCCTTCACGAGAAGCGAGGCGAAGGGGCCACCCCGCCCTAGCAGCTGCTTGCATCTCGCTGAGCCGTGGACCGCAAGCCGCCGCCGCAGCACTGACCGAGTAGGACGAGGAGTGAGGAGAGGATCCAGCAGCGAAGAGGCAAGTCGACGGTGCAAAAAGCATGGCCTACAGTAGGGGCCCGTCCATAAGAAACCTTCCACGAGCCACCCAACCCTGAGACCCCAGGACGTCCATCGATTTTTGGGGGTGGGAACGCCGCGCTCTCCATGCCAAAACCATCGAACCCAAGAAACCCAGGGCACCCTGAAGGCAAGCAGGGTGTTTCTTGGCATGGGCTCCCAGGAGGCGTTGGCAATGGGCAATAAATCGATCTGACACGCGAACAGGGACCTGATCCACCACCTCAGGTCATACCGACTCCGCCTCCACCTCGACCACCTGAGACCCAACGTGCTGAGCTACCTCAACGGGCAGGGTGTTGCTGGGCATGGGCCTCCACTGCCCGTGTTCCAGCGGCGTGTTCCCGGGGCGCCGCCGCGCTCCCCCGGCCCGCGCAAGCCCCGGGGTGGCCAGGCGCCAACGCGCGGGCGGCCGGGCCCCCCGCACCAGGCCGCGAGCAGCTGCGGAGCGGGGAAGGAGAAAGGGGCCGAGGGAAACGTCAGGAAGGGAGGAGGTTCTCCTCCTCCTCCCGCCTCGTCGTGCCCGTCCTCCTCCATCTCCCCTCCTCCCTCCCCCCTCCTCCACACTCCAACCCCTCCTGCTGCTGCACTGGGGGCATGAACGCAAAGGTGTCGCTGATTCCTGGGGCACCAGGATTGGCAGCAACGGGCGAGGCTAGTCGGCTGTATCCTGTCAGATATGTTGTGAGTCCGCGGCTCGGCAGAAGATGGTTCCTGGGAGGACGGAAGGAAGGGGAGAGAAACGAGGGAGGAAGACGAGGAGGAAGAAGGAGGACAGGAGCGAGCAGCGAGGAGGTGGAAGACGAGGAGGAGGAAAACGAGGAGAAAGACGTCGAGGAGGAAGACGACCATAACGACGAGGGACGGGACAGGAGCGAGGAGGTGGACGAAGATGAAGGAGCAGGAGGAGCAGGACGGGGAGCATGGGTCGCCTCGAGCTGCGAGAACGAGCGCCCGTCGGGCTCGAAGTCGATGAAGTCGAGCCTCGCACGTTCCCTGGTGGTCAACCACCCCTCTGGGGGCCGCGGTCGGGTGGTCGCCCCCGAGAGGCCAAAGACAGGTGGGCACCACCAGGGGGAGGTGCCTCTTGGACCTCCTCCCTCCTCCTCGTCATCCATAATATTATTCCTACTACTACGACTACTACGACTACGACTACGATTACTACTACGACTACTACGACTACTACTACTACTACTACTACTACTACTACTACTACTACTACTACTACTACTACCACCACTACTACTACTACTACTACTACCACCACTACGACTACTACTTCTACTACTACTATACTACTACTACTACTACTACTACTACTACTACTACTACTACTACTACTACTACTACTACTACTACTACTACTACTACTACTACTACTACTACTACTACTACTACTACTACTACTACTACTACTACTACTACTACTACTACTACTACTACTACTACTACGACTACGACTACGACTACTACGATTACTACTACTACTACTAATAATAATAATAACAATAACAATGGGAATACTGATAATAATACTACGACGACGACCACTACTACTACTACTACTACTACTACTACTACTACTACTACTGCTACTGATGCTACTACTACTACGACTACTACTACTACTACTACTACTACTACTACTACTCTACACTACTACTACTACTTACTAATTACTACTACTACTACTACTACCACTACTAGATTACTACTACTACTACACTACTACTACTACTACTCTACTACTACTACTACTACTAAACGACTACTACTATACTACTACTATCGACTACTACTTACTGCTACTACTGACTTTACTAACCTACTTACTACTAACTACTACTTACTACTACTTACTACAACTACTACTACTACTACTACTACTACTACTACTACTACTAACTACTACTACTACACTACTATTACTACTACTAACTAATACTACATAACTACTACTGATTAACTACTACTACTACGAATACTACTCTACTAAATACTACTAACTAACTACTACTACTACTACTACTACTACTACTACTACGACTACGACTACGACACTATACTACTACTACTACTACTACTATTACTACTACTACTACTACTGATACTACTACTACTACTACTACTACTACTACTACTACTACTACTACTAATACTGCTACTGGTACTAATACTACGACTACTACCACTACTACTAGTACTACTACTACTACGACTACTACTACTACTACTACTACTACTACTACTACTGCTACTACTACTACTCCTACTGCTGCTACTACTAGTACTACTACTACTACTACTACTACTACTACTACTACTACTACTACGACTACGACTACTACTACTACTACTACTACTACTACTACTGCTACTACTACTAAAATCAGTACCACTATGTGTCCTCTTCTTCTGCATCAGCATCATCACCATCATCCCCATCATCATCTTCTGGTGTGGTCAGCAGCAGAAGCTTCATCCGCATCAACTTCATCACGACACATATACCGCAAATGATAGCCAATCATACGGACACTAAGAATATTGATACAACATCTTAACATACGAACAATACGAATAAAAACAAAAATAAAAATCATCATCAGCAGCATCAACAGCAGTAGCATCAGTTGCATCATCACCATCAATCGCCATTGTCGTCCTCAAAGCACCATCTCCATCCTCGTCTCACCAGCAGCATCAGCATCTTCAGAATCAGCATCAGCATCATCACCAACGACAACAACAACAATCATATTAAGACCGTTCGCCGTGATATGCTCGAGTGTCCAATATATTTCCCAAACCCTCGATACCCGCCCTCTTCGTCTTAGATCAAACCCCTTTTGGGGGGTATACCTTTCTTCCCTGCAGGCCGGGCCCCGGCAAACGGCGGGGCGGCCGCGGACCGTCGGCCTGGCCAGCGGCAGCGCTGATCGGCGGGGCGGCCGCGGACCGTCGACCCGACACCAGGAGGGACGGACAGGGGACCGACCACGACGACGACGACGACGACGTCGACGACGACGGCGACGACGACGACGGCGACGGCGACGACGGCGACGAGCGAAAGCGAGAGCGAAAGAGAACGACAGCAGGGCCACAAGGACACGAAGGAGGCCACGAAGGGCAACAGCGGGGACATGAAGGGAAAGTGTATGGGGCCACGAAGAGCGCGAACAAGCGGGGGCCACGAAGGGCAGATAATGCGGGGCCACGGAAATCAACGATAGGGCCACTGACGGTAGCAACTGGGCCACGCAGGACAAACGCATATGGGGCCACCACGGGCGCGAACGAGCGGGGGCCACGAAGGGCATGCATATATAGGGCCACGAAGGGCAGCGAGGGGGCCACGAAGAGATGCAACGGGGCCACGCAGAGCAGCGAGGGGGCCACGAAGGGCTGCAACGGGGCCACGAAGGGCTGCGACGGGGCCACGAAGGGCAGCGAGGGGGGCCACGAAGGGCTGCAACGGGGCCACGAAGGGCTGCGACGGGGCCACGAAGGGCAGCGAGGGGGGCCACGAAGGGCTGCAACGGGGCCATGAAACAAAGCGAGGGGGCCACGAAGGACTGCAACGGGGCCACGAAGGGCAGCGAGGAGGCCACGAGGGGCTGCAACGTGGCCACGGAGGGCAGCGAGGGGGCCACGAAGGGCTGCAACGGGGCCACGAAACAAAGCGAAGGGGCCACGACGGGCTGCAACGGGGCCACGAAGGGCAGCCGGATCCTGATTCCTATGTAATCTGTAAGGGAGTCCTAAGCATGAGCGCGACTCCTGGGTGCCTGGGTGTCCGGAGCGCGGCGCTTGAGTGAATTGCATGAATTTCCAACGCAAGGGCGCTATTCTTCAGCAAATTGCAAGCAAGTTTCCAGCGTGAGCGCGACTCCAAAGCGCCAGGAGAATAAATGCTAAGGAAGTCCCAGGCGAGAGCGCGATTCCTGAATAAAACACGAGGAAGTCTCGGGCGGGAGCGGGGGTCATGGCTAAATTGTGCGGGTGTCTCAAGCGGGAGCCGCTGTTGTTGTTGACCGGGGGCCAACGACACAGTTTGACGCTCAAGACTTTCCCTGAAAAAAAAACAAGGTACGAACCCCAGGAAGGGCACTTCAATCGCCAAAAAACAACGTGCACCGGACGGGGGGGATTAAGAATATTCTTTTTCTGAAGTGAGAGTTCAACACCAAACACCACAACAACAACAACAACAAGGAAAAGGCGCGCGTGAGAGCCCCGTGAGCTCTAGCCGTCCGGAGCACCCCTCGCCTTATTGCAAGGGCTGCGCTCAGAGCCCCGTGGACGCATTCTGACCCCCTCCCTAGTTACAGCAACAGCAACCCGCAACCCAAAAAAACAAAAATCCTGGAAATCCCTTGGGCTTCCTTACGGACCTTGACGTGGTCCTACGGGTGAAAAACGTATGGGCGGCGGCGTGCCGCCGCTTCAATACATATTCGATACCGACTGTATGGGATCCTGTAGAGATCCGATAGAGACTGTATGGGATCCTATACAGATGCGATACAGACTGTATGGGATCCTATACAGATCCGATACAGACTGTATGGGATCCTGTACAGATCCGACACAGACTGTATAGGACCCTAAACAGATCCGATACACACTGTATGGGATCCTATACAGATCCGATACAGACTGTCTCGGATCCTACACATATCCGAGACAGACTGCATGGGATCCTGTATAGATCCGATACAGACCGTATAGGATCCTATACATATCCGATACAGATTGTATGGGATCCTGTAGAGATCCGATACTGACTGTATAGGATCCTATACAGATCCGATACAGACTGTATGGGATCCTGTAGAGATCCGATACAGACTGTATGGGATCCTATACAGATCCGATACAGACTGTATGGGATCCTGTATAGATCCGATACAGACTGTATGGAATCCTCTAGAGATCCGATACTGACTGCATGGAATCCTGTAGAGATCAGATACAGACTGTATGGGACCCTGTAGATATCCGATACAGACTGTATGGGTTCCTATACAGATCCGATTCAGACTGTATGGGACCCTAAAGAGATCCGATACAGACTGCATGGGATCCTAGAGAGATTCGATACAGACTGTATGGGATCCTGTACAGATTCAACACAGACTGTATGGAGTGCTATACAGATCCACTACATACTGTATGGGATCCTATACAGATCCGATACATACTCTGAAAGATCCTATACAGATCCGATACAGATCGTATAGGATTCTTTACATATCCGATACAGACTGTATAGGATCCTACACAGATCCGATACAGACTGTATAGGATCCTATACAGATCCGATAAAGACTGTATAGGGTCCTAAACAGATCCGATACAGACTGTATAGGACCCGATACAGATCCGATACAGACTGTATAGGACGGGTCCGAGACAGACTGTATGGGATCCTGTAAAGATCCGATACAGACTGTATAGGATCCTACACAGATCCGATACAAACTGTATATGATCCTATACAGATCCGATACAGACTGTATAGGACCCTATACATATCCGATACAGACTGTATGGGTTCCTATACAGATCCGATACAGACTGTATAGGACCCTTTACAGATCCGATAGAGACTGTATAGGATCCTATACAGACTCGAGACAGACTGTATAGGATCCTATACAGATCCGATACAAACTGTACAGGATCCTATACAGATCCGATACAGAATGTATCGGATCCTTTACAGATCGGATACAGACTGTATAGGATCCTATACGTGGGGCGACGGCACCGATGACGACGACGACGACGACGACGACGGCGGCGGCGGCGACGACGACGACGGCGACGGCGGCGGCGACGACGACGACGACGGCGACGACGACCGTCCTCGCCCCAAGCCTCATCCACCCTGTCCTCGTTCTCCTCATCCACCCTGTCCTCGTCCTCCTCACCCTCGTTCTCCGCATCGACGTCTTCGTCATCCTCGTCGTCCTCACCCTCATCGTCATCCTCATTTTCCTACTCAGCATCATCAGCATCATCGTCCACCTCGTCCTACTCATCATCATCATCATCATCATCATCATCATCATCATCATCATCATCATCATCATCATCGTCAGCATCATCATCATC